TAATGCACGTATAAGTCTGCGATCCGCCGTAATGTAAGAAGAAGAAGAAGACGTGTCAGGCGCCGGCTGTTGAGAACGCGCTCAGGAGGACACGCTCAGGACAGACAGTTCGGACATTGCGGTGAAAATCAGAGGTAAAAAACTATATAAATACTGTTCAGTTTCTTGCACAGACCGATCGTTTTGTGTCTTTACACATCAATGTGTCGTCACGAGTCGCAGGGTTTAATTTGGTTTTGTTTGTGTATGGTTTTTTGACTCCCAAAGCCGTGATTCCCATCCACTTACATTATAAGACTGATAGACTGTCACGGTTTGAGTTAAAAATCTTCGTTTGTGTTCTATTGAAGAAACAAAGTCACCTACATCTTGGATGCCCTGGGGGTAAGCAGATAAACATCACATTTTCATTTTTGGGTGAACTATCCCTTTAAGTGTAAAAAAAAATATTGTCTCAAAGCTGCACTTAAAAGTTAGTTATCAAGCATCTCAGTCATAATTTAAGCGAAGTGTAGGACTAAATCTTAAGTGTCAGTCTTAGGAATGATTCACGACACTTGTGCTGTGCCACAAACAGGATTTTGGATGACGACATAGGCATGGACCAATCACTGAATAGATTTTCTTATTTAAGAATATTCTCAGATAAATTCACATTTAATGGTGAAATTCCTAAGAGTAGTTTACATTCAACACACATTTGACAATAAAGAATTTTCAAGAGAATACATTATGATATACACTTTGGAAATGAAAGATAAACATGTTTTCCACCATGTCTTTATTACAAATTTAAACCAGTGTGCTGTTAACTGACCTGCCTTTAGGGTTGTGCCGATAGATGATAGTCAGAGATATCGCCTGTTGCTGATGAAAGCAAGACGATTATTATTATATTATTATTATTATCCGCCAAAAACAGACTACGCACCTATCTTCACTGATGTAGCGTGGAGAGCCGCTAATGGGACGCCAAAAGAAATGTGCCGCGGCGCGACTAGAGTGGCCGCGATCAGCTCCGTCGAAGCCATAATGTGCTGCAGACGTGTGCAGTGTAAATAAGGGGTAAGCGATTTATTCATCATACAGTGTAGGTTGCTTCACTGTTTACAACGGGAGTGTTTTTTAAAGTGCATATACTCTTGCTAGACTGAAGTCGGTTATGATGTTCTTTGGTAATGTAAATGTTCTTTGCTCGTTTTCTGTTTGAATAACTGAGGAAATGTAACCGTTTGATTAACTGCTCGTCATCAAACATTTCAAGAACATTCTTACTCTCCTGAAAGATTTGTGCACGTCTCTGTCTCCTCAGCGCCATCACAAGACCCTACTGGCAACTCCTAACCACTTGAGAGACCTCTCGAGCTGTCTTAAATAACTGGGAGAGTAAGAGTGATTCTTAGCTTTAAGAAATATGATAACTTGCTTTTATACTTAAGTTTGAAAGTAGAAGTAAATTTCATGAATTCTCAGCACTTAAGACTAAAATGGCACTTTGAGAAGCTTGATAAATACGGGCCCAGATTTGTTAAAAAAATACTGATTCATTTAGGAATAAAACACATCTTTATAAGTGAATCACTGAATCATTCACTCAACGGATTTGGTCAAAAACAGATTCGTACAAGAATGTAAAATGTATTTCTGAGTGAATTACTGACTCATTCTGTTAGGTCAAAAACAGATTAATTCAGGAAAGAAATGTCTTAATGAGTGAGTCATTGAATCATTCATGAAGCCTATTTTTTCCAAACAGATTAATTCAGAATGTGTTGCTCAGAGTCAACAAATTGTGCATTCATTGGCTTAGTTTGGATCTTCATTGACAGAGAAAAAAAACAGATGAAGTAAACGGCAATATAGTTCTAAATTGTACGTTTCCTAATTTCTTTGAATTGTGAAAAAGCAATGTCATACTTGCAATCGCTCTGTTGGTTTGGATATCAGCATGGCTACAATTATCTGCAGCACTCAATATTCAGAACAACAACTTTCTAGCTCGCAACTCTCTAAATTAATTTTCAGAAACTGGGTTACATTTAACTGAAAAACCATGTTTACATCTGTTAACGGCCAGTTCTTGTGCCATATGTGTGTATATTTGGGCCATGTTTGTGTGATAGGAGATAATAAAAATCAGTGAGTGGCAGGTGGATGAGCAGACGGAAATTGATGAGCTCTTTTACTGATGCCCTGCGGCTGTAGATCCAACAGCTGGAGCAACGGCCTACAAACAAAGGAGTCTTATCTACCATAAGCCTCTCTCCTTCTCCTTCTCCTTCTTTTATCCCTTTTCTGCCATCTTCTTTTCCCTTACTCATTCCCATATCCCTGCCTTTCCATCTCTTTTCATTTAACATACCACGTCCACTGTAACCTTTACAGGTGGAAATAAATTTGCCTTCTTCTGTCCTTTCTAAAATTTGCGGGCATGACTCTATCGTGCTCCTATGATGTGCCGCCCGGTCCTGCATGCTGTTTTGCTGTGCATCTCCCTGGTGTCCTCTGGCCTGTAGATGACCACATCACCCTGTGACATGCTCATAAATTATTCTGAGCACCTGCAGCTGCAGGCGTTGTGAATGAAGAAGCTCTTGCCGTTCTCTCTGGGGAGCTCCATTATGCTTCCTCTACAAACACATGCAGTTGTTTGTGAGCTAGAGCTCTAGTTAAAGAATATTCCAGATTCAATACAACAGTTCATGCTCAATCTTCTGCATGTGTGGCTTGATGTAGTGGTAGTAATAATAATAATAATAATAATAATAATAATAATTTCAACACATTTCTTGATTTCTTGAAAAAAAAATCAGGGTTACAGTAAGGCACATAATTTAAGTTCAAAATAACTTTTGAAACCCTAATTTTACAGTCTTGTATTAGAGTTTATCATTGCCATGGCAACAAAGTTGTAAAATCGGATAGAACTTTACACAGAAAAGGTTAGTAAGAGATGTTTTTCCTCACACTTAAATCATGTTAACACACACACACACAGTTTATGTCTTATGACTAAACTATTGAAAAAATGAATTTAACTTTTTTTGAATTGGCTCTTTTCACTTCCATTGTAAGTGTTTCACTGTAACTCAGATGTATGCTTTTTTTTAGAAAAGGAGGGACATTTGGAAATTAATTTTTGGGTAATTAACAATGCCATGAATACTGTTGATTGAGTTTAATTTGTACTTAACCCACAACATTCTTTAAGGTTATGTTTTGAGTGTTTAATGCAGACGTGTTCACTAGTGTGGAATTTTAATTTTCCTTCTTGCTCTCAAAATCAAATTGCTCTTGATTTCCCTAGAAAATTGGAGTTTACAGTGGCTAACCATGTGACAAACTGCTTGTGGAATAAGTCAGAAATTACTCGCAGCTAGTTTTTTTTTTTTATTAAATCAGAATCTTGTATTGGGTACGCTGGTGGGGAAAAAAAGACTACATGTGAGTGCATGGAGTATATGAATATCTTTTTCCGGAGTTTGAGGTCATTCAGTTTGTGGTGGATCCGTCTGTTGTATCCAAAGCATTTTCTTGTGGACGGTATCGATCTGCATTGACCTGGTCCTTGTGGTTGCAGCTGTAGGCTAATTTAGCCCGCTGCTTCTTCCGTTGACATTTACATCGGCCTGTCTCATCCTTATCGAGGGGAGTCATAAAGCAGGGCTTCACGTGGCCTTCATTTCTCTGAAATAAATCACCCTTTTACCCAGGCACTTTATAAGACAGGTACCAGAGCACACAATGAACCACTGTAGTCAGACAGAGAGTGCTTTTAAAAAAGATTATTTGCAAGAAGATCTCAGCTGAACTCTGCAATCAAATGAAATGACCTCATGTGATGGTTACGGAATATCATGAAAAGGAAAAATATGAGAATAGAGATGCAATATAACACTTCATCACGTGGTATAAATAATTTTTTTCCTTCATGACCTCAGCAAATTGTCAAACTGAATTTCAGTTCATCTGCCAGCTCACTTTGATTTACTGCTTCAGACTGTGTGCTTATGTCTCTAGTGCTCTGTAGAGACTAAACAATTAGAAGATGCAGAGGTGTTACTTTAGCTTAGAATAACCCATCCTCCTGAAACAAAACCAAAATATTATTACTAGACTAATGATTCATACTTAAAAAGATAGATCACCCAGAAATGAAAATTCAGTTATCTTTTACTTACCCTCATGTCATTCAAAATCTCTTTGACTTTCTTTCTCAATACAATGAAAGACTCCACTGACTTTCTTTGTATGGACAAAACAGTTAAAACATGCTTCAGAATATCTTCTTTTGTGTTCTGCAGAAGAAAGTAAGTCATACAGGTTTGGAAAAATTGAGGGTGAGTAAATGATGACAGAATGTTAATTTTTTTAGATTAACTATCCTATTAATAGTCAGCTGCTGCTTCATGTATACATTCACTGTCCAACAAAATCCTGGGACTGACAGTGGCAGATGTTGGAAATTGTCAGCTTTTATGTAGTAAGTTATGAAATTAAATATATTTCATATTCACTTGAACACTTGAATTAACCTAATTAATATTCATGAGATTTTACCATTTTGTCATGTCAAAACCAGCATGTGTGGGAAGTACCAATTTTTTAAAACAACATGACGGCCTCTTTCTCTCTTCTCCCTGTACTCTGTGACCCTCTCCACAAAGATCCCTCTGTCACACTGTGAAATCCATCAGTAAAATCAGCTTGTCTTCACTACCACACCTCCCTAGAGTGTTTTGCATTATAGAGTCCCTGGGAATACAGGAATATTGATTCAGACAATGGCCATGTGACTCCTCCTGGCTGCCCATATCCTGTTTTTAACTTAAGTGTCTTAAGTGCATGCATGTAGGTTGCAGACATTAATTATGACCTGTACAGGAAGTGAAACCGGATGCGATCAGGATATTGAACATGAGCGCAAATCAAGACTGGCATCTGTTCAAGGCTTTTACTGAATTGTAAAGTTGTCTATTTTGTCTTCATCTCTCTTTTAGGGCCATGGGGTAGGTGCATGGGCAGCGAGTGTGGTCCAGGTGGAAGTCAAAGCCGAGCAGTTTGGTGTGCCCATTCCGAGGGCTGGACCACATTACACACCAACTGCCAGCAATCGGAGCGGCCCAGCAACCAACAGAGCTGCTTCCGGGTGTGCGATTGGCACAAAGAGCTATACGACTGGCAGCTAGGGGCCTGGAACCAGTGTGTGCCGGTGTCTATGCGCAGTGCGGGAGTGCCAAGGCCAGCGGTGTGCACTCGGGGCGAAGAGGGCATCCAGACGCGGGAAGTGGGCTGCGTGCACAAGTCGGATGGCGTTCCTGCGGAAGATGCCATCTGCGAGTACTTTGAGCCCAAGCCACGGTTAGAGCAGGCCTGCCTTATCCCGTGCCCACGCGACTGCGTGGTGTCCGAATTCTCCCCATGGACGTCCTGCTCCAAGAGTTGTGGGATGGGTCTGCAGAACCGCTTGCGTTGGGTTTTAGCCCCACCACTTTTTGGCGGTTCGGCTTGCCCCAACCTCACAGAGTTCCGCACCTGCCAGCCGGACCCCTGCGAGGGTGAGGAGAGCCTGTACAGCATGAGGGTGGGACCTTGGGGCCCCTGCATCGCTTCACCTATACGACACGCCCGGGAAACCCGAGAAGGTAGAGAGTTGAAACCAGAACGTAAGGCAAAAAGGGACCGGCAGGCCAGGCAGGAGCGTCAGGGCAAGCGGCGCAAAAACAAAGAGAAAAAGGAGGTGAAGGAAAACAAAGGAGAACGTGTGAGGGACAGGGTCAGGGTGAAGGGAAGGATGAGGGACCCTGAGACTCGAGAGCTCATCAAAAAGAAGAGGACGAGGAATCGGCAGAATCGCCAGGGCTTGAAGTCCTGGGACCTGCAGGTGGGCTACCAGACCCGGGAGGTGACGTGTGTTCACCGAAGCGGAAGCATAACGGCGCTCAGGTCAGCCTCGTCTTCTTTATATGTTCATGCATGATTTGGTTGTAAAACTGTTATTCTTTCAGTGGCTTCTTTCTGTGTGGGGAACTGTGATTTGCTTAGGTTTGATAATATATTGTATGAATGTAGTGGAAGCTATTGCAATCAACAGTTTATTGAGAGTTTTATTATTATTAATATTATTCTTTTTTTATCAATGGCAGTTAGATATCTGGATCAGGACCAGTTCTCCAGCTCTGAAAATGTGTAAATTTTATTCAATTCTGATTCAGTAGTCAGCTAATGCTATGCTTGATATGCAAGTTTTTTTTTTTTTTTTTCAATTTGATATGATCCAAAAAAAAAATGAAATCAATAATAATAAAATTGGTCTTTTTAAAAAATATAACAAATGTATACACTACCATTTGGAAGTTTGGGTTGATTACAATTTGTTATTTGTTTTTGTTTTTGAAAGAAGTCTCTTATACCCACAGGCTGCGTTTATTTGATTAAAAAATAATAATATTGCAATAAAAACAGGAATATTGTGAAATATTAAAATAATCCTATTTTAATATATTTTTAATGTATAATTTATTCATGTGATGGCAAAGCTGAATTTTCAGCATCATTACTCCAGTCTTCAGTGTCACATGATCCTTCAGAAAGCATTCTAATATGCTGATTTGCTGCTCAATAATTTTTTGTTAATTATTATTAATGTTAAAAACAGGATTCTTAAAAGAGTTTTAAAAACAGCATTTATTTGAAGTAGAAATTAGAATTTACAAATTAATGACATAATTTAATGTGTCTTTTCTGAATAAAAGTATTAATTTCTTTCCAAAATACAAAATCTTACTGACCCCAGACTTTTGAATAGCAGTGTATGTCTATTAAAAATAAGTCAATTATGAAAATCAGAGCTGTCAACACAACTGCGTGATTGTTTGAGTAAAGGTTGTGATTAATCACAAGATCAATATTTGTAACCAGCCCTAACAGAAAGATGTCAACACAGGAAAGAAAATGAGACCATTGAGCCATTACATGGGGGTTTTAAAGGAGAACATAAGTACAGACTTACTGACCTTATCAACTCAGTCATGATATGTCAACACTGCCTCCTTTCCACCTGCAGTGTTTCTGCATTTCTCTCCTTGCAGTGTGAAAGCTGGTCAGTCTTCTGTTCCTGTGTGTGTGTGTGTGTGTGTGTATATGTGTATGTGTATGTGTATGTGTATGTGTGTGCGTGTGTGTGTGTGCGTGCGTGCGTGTGTGT